TGTCGAATTGAAACGGTTAGCCGAGCGTCCTGCCACCAATCTCTTAGCAGTGGCGGTCTCGGCATTTTGAATTTCCTGATCAAAGGTAAATCTCTTAAATTAGCCTCAGTAATTTCCAATCTAGATGATCGCGAATCAAAATCCTTTTATTTGGCCAGATATTTTCTAGGCTCTAGGCTTGCCTCCTGTCGCTCGGAGTGGAGCTCTCTTCGAGATAACTCCACCCCGAGTACACAGATCTTGACGCCCTATTATGAGAATGTTCTCTCGGCGCTCACCACTCTACGTGGGATTCTCTCCCACACGGAGTGGTGCGATTTTGAATTTTCTTCCGAGAAATGTTATTGAACTCTCATGAAGGAAAACTCCCCATCCCCAATTCTTCATCGCTTTTGGACTCCCTTCCCTCCGATTGACTTTAATCTTGACAAATTTTGGAATTTAGTGCGAGATGACTTTTCTGAAACTTATAAGAACGACATACTCTGGAAAATTGTACTTCGCGCTATTAAGGTCCACGTTTCTCTAAAGAATTGGGGATATATCGACTCAGATAAGTGCGCCTTCTGTTCCCGTAAAGAAACTATAGATCACTGTTTTCTCAATTGTCCCCGTGTGAAATCTGTATGGACCTACTTTTCCCCTATTATCTCCTCTATCCTTGGAACTAGATTTCTCCCATCCTGTACATATGTTTTCTTTTTTCGTTGGACCCCCGCTAGTCCAAAACAGAATTGTATTATCCGCTTTCTAATTAAGACAATTCTGTACAGCATCTGGAAATTTCGAAATTCATCTACCTTCCACAATGGGAATGACCCCCCTGAGGGTATAATTCGCTATGCCCTCAGCGAGAGCAAAAACGGAATTGCGTGCGACTACTTCCGACTTTCGTAATCTAACTTTAGAAACGCTTGGGAGTCCCCATCAATCTGTACAATTGATGGGGACTCCTATAGAATACTTTTTTAAATAGATTAACTTAAGCTTTAGTTAACATTTGATGAAATCAACTTGGAATAATTTACAACTTAGAATTACCATTAAACAATCCTAGAGTTACATGAATATTAGTCTACGTTAGCCCAAGCCATACCAATATTATAGATTAAGCTTATATTAAAATTAGATTACCTTAAGCTTTAGTTAAAATTTGATTAAATCAACTTGGAATTATTTACAACTTAGAATTAGCACTAAACAATCCTAGAGTTACATTAATATTAGTCTACTTTAGCCCAAGCCATGCCAATATTATAGATTAAGCTTATATTAATATTAAACCTAACTATTTTGGAATTATTTATAACCTTACATTAATGTTAGTTATATTTAATACTCGTATTAATTACACGACTCGGGCAGTCAGAGGGCCAATAACTAAAATCAACCAATCAAATTGCTCCATTGCCGGTCCAATATTCTCTAAGTATTGGACCGGGCACTGTCCCGAATGGTCCCGAATGATACCGCACTCGTGTCCCTTTGAACTTCAGTCGTATAATAAATCTCTTATTAACCAAGCTTGCTCNCTCAGTCCTTTGCCCTGACAGCCCAATCTCGTCAAAAAGTCGGCAACAGGAGCGAGAGAACAATTGACACAAACAGCCAAGCCTATTCTCACATCCTCTCTCCCTCCTCAATCCTGTTAGCTTATCTGAAGATGGCATTTCAGATATGGCGTACATGCTACAAATTCCCTATTTAATAATGGTATTATAAGTTGTGGCAAATGGGAGTGTTGAAATTATTACATATATATGCCACTTTGTTACAGTATTAGTAGCAACATGAAGACAAACAGTGCACTCATTGTATAACCTGAGTTTTGGCATGGGTTTGTCGATTGTAACAAAACCCAAGCCTTTTCATGTAGTTTGTTGACAATATTGAGTCTTAGTAGATTGTCAAATGAATTTTTTTCAGATCAAGTCAAATTTATGTTGTGTTTCATGTAAAAATGTTGCCAAAACTCCACATTCCAGTAGACTCATTTATTTGCGAACAGAGACCATTTAAGATTTTTCAACCTCTTTCATGAGGGTTGTAAAGGGAGGGTCAAGATCACGTTTCACGGAAAATAAATTGATCCTTTCACAAATCGCGGTCAGTGTCAATTACTGTCGAAACTACATCCAAAATAACGCATGGTTCACGACGAATTAAATACTTCTTTCTCATTTCACAGAGAATTATGGAAAATCATGGTTTACGGCTGCTAATGAAACCACGATTCACGAGGAAAAAGCAATTTCATGTTTCACGGGAAAAAAATAGGCTATTCAGGAGTCTCGAAAACACCCCTTACCACCCTCTTTCATGTGTCCAATAACGACAGAAACTAAAGTTTACAACTTAAGATAAAACCTGATTGATGTTTTAATTAGAATTAATTTCTGTAATTTGCAGTTCTTTTTTCTACCCATGTAGGTTCTTACAAATATCTCCATATATCCTCTAAAAGTCTCTCTTCATAATGAAGTTTGAAATATGATATCCTAGCTCTAACTTGTCTCGCTAAATCAAACTTTCCCAGCGAAAGAAACAGATGATAGTCAAATTTCTTATTTCGGTAGCTAGAGCTGCCAAGATCTTGGACAGCTGGTGGAAAGGTAATTGCATTATAGGTAGTTACTGCAGTGGTCACCGAGTTAAGTAACAGAAAATCTTCAAAAGAAGCCTTGTCTTTTCAGCTAGAGGACCATGAGACGCGAATAGTCGAAAGTGGAGTTACAAAATATTAGGTTTAACCTCCAGTTGAAAGTGACTTTCTTTTCAATTCATTACGCTTACCAGAGGAGGTAGACATTTTAGAGAAAAATTGGTGAAGCAAGCAGTCATACCAGGCGACACCTAGAGAAGATATGAGAGAAGCCCATACGATTCCAGCGTATTTTTCACTGACTCACTGTTTTCATGTGTATATCATTCGATCCACCAGTGATATCTTAACTCGAAGTCGTTGAGCGTCGTTTCTTATAATTTTGGCTCATTTTCTCAAACCGAAATGATCCTTCACACTCAGTAGAATATAATTTCAATTGATACTGACAACATACACTGCATCTGAAGAAAAATCCCATTCCCTATGCTCGCAAAAATTCCGTTCAAAACATCGGAAACATCGATGAAGTTCTTCAGTTATCTTTAATGACTTTTTCGTGTAAATTACTAGCGAGTAATTCTATGCTTTCTGGTGCAAGTTGATGTAAATAACCACTAGTATATTTTTCAAAGGCTGCAAATTGCACTCGTCCTACGGGCTCGTGCAATTTTGTTTTCTTTGAAAAATTACTTGTGTTTATTAATACCGAATTAAAATCGAAATCATCTTATTATCTCTACAAAGAGAAAACATAATATGATAGAATCATACACAGAGCTTTTATGAAATATCTAACTTTAATATTCTTTCTCAAACATGATTTATTATCTACTAAACTGAATTAAAAAAATAAAAATGTATGCTGCATGATTTAATGTTAAGCGTAGGGTAGCAGACAGTATTAAATAAATACTAACGCATCATTACCTCATAGCTCACCACCCTTTTTTCTTCAAGATCAACCTTATTTCCCACAAGTGCTACAAAGGCGCCTGGCTCGGACACTTCTATGAAATCGTCAACCCACTTTTTTGCGTCCTCAAATGAAGCTCTCCACGTTACGTCATACACAACAATAGCAGCATCACTGCCATGGTATAACATGGGAGGGAATGAGCGGTACTCCTCTAAACCACCAGTATCCCATGAATGGAGGTTCGCGTTCTTTTCTGAATCCAGACTTACTTCTATAGTGTAAAAGACCGCTATAAAGAAGGAAATAACACCAACTAAAACTTGCATAAGATTTTCGGCAGAAGACAGAGCACCGACTCCCAAAAATTTATTTTGAAGGTTTCCATGCTAATTATTAAACGCTTTTCTCACCTCCGATGGTAGGTGCATCATGGAATGATCTGGAGAGATATCTGCAAACCAAACGCGATTTGCCCACGTTTGAACTTCCTGTTTTATAACACATAGAAACAAAAAGAATCTTTAACGCAAACTATAATGACAACTGTACTTACAGTAATTGTTTGCAGGGGATTAAATTAGATATTTTATCTTAACAGCCTTCAGATGTTGAGGTAGCAATCCTGTCAGGTCAGTTCCTTTTCGCATTTCGAATATTATATATTTAACCAGTAAACCACACTTTCTGTCGGTTTACCGGCTGATAAACCAAGCGGGATGTTGGGAGAACAAGAGAAAAGTTTGTAAACCACAAGGATGCACCGTTCAGATATATTGCTTACTCGAGATACTATTTTCCTTCCTCCAAATTTGTTTCTCTTGCCCCAACTTGAATCAAAGCTTTCATGGGGTGATAGTTAAAATTTAAAAAATAACTTAAAACGAGTAACGGGAGAACGAGGGAACGAGGAACGGGGAACGGAAAACGAGGAATCTTTAAATAACGGAATCTTTAAAATGGGGAATCTTTCCAACGGAGAATTTTCAAAACGTGGAATCGTTAAAAGTGAGGAAACTTTAAAATGTGGAGTCTTTAAACGGGGAATCTTTAAAATGTGGAATCGTTAATATATGGAATCTTTAAAATGGGTTCTAAAGGCGCGTATCTTTAAAATGAGGAATCATCAAAAGCAAGTACTGTAAAATGGGCTTTCAAAGTGGGAATATTTCAAACCGGGAATCTTTAAAAACAGGAATCTTTAAAAGCGTGAATCTTTAAAAGCAGGAATCTTCAAAATCTTTAAAATGGGGACTCTTTAAAGTGGAAATCTTAAAAGGCAGGTATCTTTAAAAGTGGGAATCTTTAAAAGCAGAAATCTTCAAAATAGGGAATCTTCGAAAAAGGGAATCTTCAAAATGGGGAATCCTTGAAAGCGGGAATCTTTGAAACAGGGAAAAAAATCGGGAATCTTTGAAACGTTGATTCTTTAAAAGCAGAAATCCTTAATATGGGGAATCTTTAAAAGCGGAAATTTTTAGAGCTTTCCGCTTTACAAGATTTCCCATTGTAAGACTCCTGCTTTTAAAGCTTTCCCATTTTTAAGCTTTCCCATTTTTAAGCTTTCCCATTTTAAATGTTCCCGCTTTCAAAGATTCTACACTTAAAAGGATCTCCATTGCCCATTGCCCCGTTCCCCGTTCACTATCCTAAAGATAGCCCTGAAAATACTTAAACTTGGTAGAAGACCATCAAATGAAAGCTGACTATACCGCAGAAAATTCCTGCACAATTTCAATCCTGAGGGTTGGGCGTCAAAACCGTTAGGGGATTTTTCGACATTCTTATTGGCTGCTTCGCAATCTATTCAGTGTTAAGTTTGCTGATCAAAGTTTTACCGATACTCATTACGTCGGAGGCCCTTACGGGAGATACATTTTGAAAAACGGAATTGCCCCACACGTTTTTTCAAGTTGGTATCTAGGGGGTCTTCTTCCAAAATTCAAGGCAATCCGTAAAGTGCACATACCCTTGAAATTCGTAAAAACAGGGCAGATTCATTTAAAAATGAAGTAGGATTTTTTTGCCTCCAAAATGAAAGTCGCTAATTCACGCCTTTGTTTCAACACATTTAATTTCAAGTTCTGCATCACTCTGAAAAACTCGAAGTGCCGACCGCCAATAGAAATACAAAACCATCCTGCAGGCTCAAGAAACTCTCAGCAAAAACATGATTTGCAGATAACTATCTCACAGTCACTCGTGACAGACCCTTAGTTCAATTCCTCTGAATGGCAACTTCGATTTCAACACTATCGGCTTTTTTATAATTTTTAAAGCGGCTTAGGCACGCCGCAGCAAAACTTATTGGTTGCTGATCGAGAGGGAGCAGCGAAGATTGCTCAAACAACGAGCCTTACTCAGTTTCGGTAAGATGTTTTCGACATTCCGCGTCGAATTTCTTCACATTTTGAACTTACAGCCAGCCTTCTTTCTTACTTCCACCATGGACTCTACTCCTTTTTATCTTTACCCATTCACATTTTAGTTCGAAACAGAGAGAGATAGCAAAGATCTCCACAGGCAACCGAAATCAGGAACTGAATGTATACGCAATTGAAATTCGAGGATCAGGATGTTTTCCCGCAATAAACCCTTCGGGAGTCACAATGATGTCATGCTATAATTGGCTATTCACACTTTGACGGGCTAGAGAATTCAGTTCACTTATCACCAACTTGAAATCATCAGCTAATTGTTTTTGCAAATTTATTTTCTGACTCGACGGCCTCTTCCCTTTTTGAAACTTCCTGTCCCAATCCAAGTTTAGGGTTGGTATTTAAGAGAAATGGTGCTGTCTGACCCCATTTTTGGCATCTCATCATATGGAATCATATCAAGCGCCTTCACCATTTTCCTGTCACAAACATTTTTAATGTTTCCCATGTCATGAGAAATTCAAATAGGCTCAGTTTATTGAACATCTTTTGGCTAATCATGTTCTCTTTGGCGATCAAGTTGTTGTGGTTCTTTATAACAGGTGGATACAAAATCATATTACTGCAATTCATTCGGAGCTTCTGTGGTACATCATAATAACTCGGACTCAAATATATTGGAGAAATATTATGATTCCTGCCATCTGTGAAGTGCTTGGCTGTCTCATTGTGTGTCTTTTCAGCTGCATTGACTAAATCATCAAATATCACTACTTTTCTCATTTCATTGTCATATTCAGGGGTGTCCATGATTTTCCTCAGACAATGTCTTTATGATATCATAGCCAACCTTCTGAAATATTTGGTCAATTATTTTCTGAAGGTCTACCATCTTCTACTGTTAATTGTTGATTTGGTATAGAAAAATAGTACTTGTCATAATATAGCAACGGTTTTCTTAACATAAATTTCATCACAACATTTGTCTTTCCACAACCATTCTGACCACATAGGAGCATCCGATACTCTTCACTCAGAAATTCGTTCAAGGCTCGTTTGTTATCCTTCTTGTTCTTTTCATAGTTTGGAATCTTCATTATGTCATATTAATAGATTAAAAAATATATGTTTCATATAAATATCTGATTGAATTAGTGTCATTTCAACGGTCAATTATGTATATATTTATATGTGAATATAGATAAACTCAGAAGAAGTGCAACTCGCCGTTCAGAGAGATCCAAAATAAAGAAAAATATTGCATACATTTCCAACTATCGCAACCTGATGTCTGACATTGAATATGGCCGCAAAGAGGTCTTCAAAACGATAAGAGACAGTCAGAAGCAATTGCAAGACTATTGAGAACAAAAAGAACAAAACTATTGAGAAATTATAGGATAATCAAGTGGTTTTAAAAAGAGGTTTAGAGGATGTTGTTGAGGCAAATAGTGACATAATGACATTACAACATGAACTGCCACAAATCACAGATGAACCATCAGAATTGAATGTGTTATCTATAGACAATGCTTTTGATAGAGTGGTAATAGCAAAATAAGAGATAGCGCCACCATAGTAATTACACAAAATGAGCTATGACCTACTGATGAATGAAATAAAGAAAAACATCTCTGCTAGAAAGGTTTCAAAACAAAAACAGAAAGAGATGGAAAAAATGGGTTGTGACAAAATATCGAGAAGCCATTGATGATATTATCAGATCGAGGAAATATAAATCGACAAAGACTAGTGAAGGTGTGAGGAAATACAAACAAAAGCGCAGAAATGCTTATAAAATAGATGGTGATCAATATGGTGGTTCATATAGCGATGTGCTCAGATTAATGAATCAGATGGTTACTTAAGCCCATAAAGACCATAAAGGAGGTCAGATAGTGTATGAAGACAAAGGGGACAAAAGTCTGATCAATGTGTTGACCAAACGACATAATTCAAAGAAAAGATATGTCAAAAGACTATCGAGATATTCAATAACCTCAACACGCTTGACAATATGCCAAATACAGATCAACAGGTAAAGAACAGTCCACAAATGCCAGAGTCTTCTACTCAAGACCAGGGCCGGGTTGTTCACAGGTGGGTTAAGATAACACAGGGTTAGTGTGAAATTTAATTTTAGATCTGAAAGCTTTAAAGAAAATTCAGTTTAATGCCATTTTTCTACAATTTGGTTATATTGAATGCTCAAAAAAGAATTGGGAAAATTATCCCAAAACAGCTATTGAACGGACAAATATATAAACCTAGATTAAAATTTAACTCTGGGTTAGCATTAATCGGCCTTCGAACAACTAAGCACTGAAGATCTGATGAAATGTCTGACATAGTTGACTGGCACACGACGCGCGGGTAATAGCAACACGCAATTGCAGAATAAAGTCTGGCAGATATTAGACCATCATGTCAAACTTCAAGTAATAACAAAGGAATAATATGATGCGAATATGATACGACTCCTGCCATAAAATAATCTAATATAATAATATAATTATGGAAATAAAAATACTTTTTATTCCTATGATAGGATAAACAATTCGAAAAGTCATGATTTTACTATTAATTTTGAGCCACCTTTTGAAATGAAGGAAAACAAGATACAGTGTTGCATTTGATTCTATCAGTATGAGATATAGTTGGTACAATATATCACCAGCTTTCAACAACAACACTTTCAAATAGGAAAATGATAACGGCACAACATGATACTCAATAACATTGCCAAGCGGTAATTCCTCATACACTGATATTAATGGTCACATCCAACAGATGCTCAAAGCTAAAGGTTATTCAAAAACAGGAAACACTATTCAGCTTGTTGCCTCATTGTTCAAAGTGTTGATATCACTCGAAAATAATTTTCTAGTTGAAGTGAGAGGTGGTGAATTTAGACTTGAATTTGCTGCACTGCTCGGTTTTAATAATAAAAAAAATAATCACAGTTACATCTTATACTGACAATCTTCCAAACATAACACGATCGGTTGACACTTTATTGGTAAAAACAAACATTGTATCTGATA